CAACCTAATTCATTACAGAACGCATGCACATCACCTGCTGTTGAAAGCAATAATAATTCACCGCCCGTGAGTTTGCAGCAGCAGTCTCTGAAACAGAGATTTAATACAATCGTTATGAGAACTCTGGCGGATAACACAGAACGAGATCGCAGCCTGCAAGCCGCCCAGATGGGCGACGCGTGGAAATTGAAGGTATTACAGCAGACCAAGGTGATAGCGACCTTGCGGGAAAGTCTTCAAGTTACAGAAGATATAATAAATCCTCGAAAGCCCCCGCCTGACGGCAAGGTGGTCGTTTCTTTCGATTGCGAGGGCATAAATCTTGGTGTTAGAGGACAGCTGACTCTTGTACAAATCGGTACAATGAGCGGTCAAGCGTATGTGTTCGATTTGGTCACGTGCCCGGGCCTCGTTCAAGCTGGTGGTCTCCAGAAGCTACTAGAACATCCTCATGTTACTAAGGTAAAAATATATAACAATATATAATAGATAAAAATACATACAGATATTAATTCATAAAGATAAGTAACTGCTTCAAACATGTAAACTTATGTTAATTTTTACAGGTGATTCATGATTGTAGAAATGACAGTGTCAATCTATATAATCAATTTAATATTACGTTAACGAATGTTTTTGACACACAGGTACTTAATATTCTTTGTATTTTTTTATATAGAAATAACGTATCATAAATGTAATATGAAATGGCAATATCTTTTATAGGCTGCGCACGCAGTGCTTCAGTTTCAAGATACGGGGAAGCCTGTGTATAAAGTTAAAAATGTTAATTTGAACACTTTGTGTGATCATTATGGTGCTCCGTGTAATCCGCTAAAGGAACAATTGAAAAATATTTATCGTAAGGATCAACGTTATTGGTCTCGGCGACCCATCACTCGCGAGATGCTAATTTATGCGAGTAGCGATGTTTTAAGTCTCGTACCTCAAGTTTATAATGCTATGTCTAGGTGTGTCATCTTATTCGTAATTTTCTCGTGAATAATTAATTCTTCTCATGAATAATAGATTAGTACAAATAATTTTATTTGTTATTGACAGACTTATAAAGCCGGAACAAGAAAGTCTTTTTGCAGAGCTTTGCGAAGAACAGATTCAAATGCACATAAGACCGGCGATTGTAAAAGCGCGTAAAAAGCAACGAAAGATCGCGACTGAATTATCAGATTTGAAAAAGAGAATGGAAGAAGCGACGAGTAAAAATATCGTACTGAGTAACCGTGAAATTCGGCTTCTTCGTTATTTAGATCTTACCGAAGACGAAAAGGAAAAGCTCAAAGGAAGTTATAAAGTTGCTAGAAAATTGGAAAAGCTAGAGAACATGGGCCAGGATAAGGTTGATAGCAGCGATGACGACGACGACGATAAAACGGATGATCATGAATATCAAAGCTTGGAAAGCTATACATCGGAAAATTCTCATTCTGGTAAAGAGTCACATTTTATTTCACATTATATATATATATATATACATTTGAAATATTATAATTTTAAAAATCATGAAAGTATGGATTTATCTTTTTGGCAATTTTGTATGATAAGCATAGTTTGAAGATCTGAAAATTAATTTTTAGGTGGCATATTGTCGCCACGGAACGCCGATACTCCAAGTCTAACGGAGTCAATGCAAATGATGGACGAAATACTCTCGGACGGTCGGATGGATAAATTGGAGAAGATTGAGAAACTGGAAGCCATACTGTCAGCTGTTACGAGCTCCGCGACTGACCAGCTTTCCATCAACAATGCGGATTCATCGCCTATCAAATGCGTCTGTACGTGTCAAGAGGATAAGACCGACAGTCCACGAACGGATCGTCAAGCTGCTGGAACTAGTGTGGCTTGCCAAACGCTTAGCACAGGTGATATAGTATTTACTAGAGTGTTTGTCAGCGAAGAGGAAAAAGAGCGAGTAAGATTATTGAATTCGCCAAAAAAGTAGGTATTACAGCTGCTGTGAAAGTAGTAGAAAAGTTGCCATTTATAGGTTTTTTTATAAAAACGGAACAATTGCATAAAAGAATTAAGTAGTTGAAATTAATCTATTTTATGTAATATATATGACAAGATTCATAGAGCAGAACTGGCGAAACTCGAATTTTCTGACATGTCTGCTCCTTTAAAAAAAAAGTGTCTTAAATGAATAGGCCTTGTTATACATGCCTTTCCAGATCTGACGATATAATCATCAGATTTTTGGAAAAGGATTATTAATTTTAATATGAGGAATTATCCGCTTGAAGATTATCTTTCTTTTACAAGCGTTTAAGAAAGACCGAATCGTTTTAGTTACAAAAGTATCAAGTTATAAGCGCTAACAAGGTTTGACCAGCCGCAAATTTTAATTTTTAACATACAACTTGTGGCTTTTTATGTTTGCCTCGGGATTAAGCTGCTAAAAAATTTTTTTTAATATTGTCTCTTTAGACAAAACTTATACATATATGTACAAATATCAACAGAAGAATCATGTTTATAGGGTAACGATTGCTGACGCTCTTTTAATAGCGTTGAATGCGAACAGAATGCATATCTCATGCTTGCGAAACATTTTTATGTGAAGTACTGCATTAAAATCGCTAATTTTTTTAGTTCTGTGGCCTAATTTGTGTCACTTATCAGAAGGGACGAATTGTCGGCAGTAATAGAGCATAACAGCAACTATCAAATAAATGCTTTTTCCTCACAGGATTTAAGCTTACGCACGCGAAATAAACTTATGCAGACTTCTTCCTTACATCGATTACAGATACAACTTATTTTCGTATATAGCTATACAAGTGCCAATTTAATATAGAACATATACAATAAACGGATTAATACATTTTATATTTCTATTTAATTACATGCTTAATAAATAATTATGCCCGCACTTCCAGTAAATGGTTAATAATCTGATAGTATTAAATAAGATAAACTCATTATTCGTGTCACATAGATCTGCATTTATATTCTAATAACATATCATTAATAAGTAAACTGCCAGAGAACGCGGAAAAGTGACAATTTCGAGAGATCTAAATAAATCATTGTCATCATAAATTGTCAGTGTTTTTAGTGCAATACTTTACACATGGACAGATAATATACATTTAATATCGATCATGTAATTCTTTTTTAATATTAAAAATACTACAAAGATATATTAGCCGAAAGACAAATTATGTAAGCGAATCATTGACACATTCTCATTTATTATTAATCGAGAGGCTCAACTAGTATCAAATTGTTCGACTATTTCGTATATACTATTCATAAAGTATGCTAGAAGCTACTATAGTATATATACCTACGTTTTTTTGATCTAATCAAAACTCCGACTACTAGCAATATTTTTTATAAAAATTCTTGAGAATGTGAGACAAGTACATCGGATGTTGTCTAGTATTTTAATGTAGATTTGATTATTATATTTCGTTATATTGAAAAGCAAAATAATAATACTAGAGGCCTATTTCTCCTTATTCTCCTTATTGGAGAATGCGTAATTGCGTTGTTACTAGAAAGTGCAAGTTTAGTTCATCGCAGAAGTAATTTTGATATTTGAATTATTATTCTGGCAGTTATTTGCGTGCGTTTATATCAGAATAATTTTGCACGCGTTTATACTAATATGAATAATATCTTCGATATACAGAAATTTTATTTGTGAAATACTCGCCTTCTATATACACATAAATTATATTTAGGAAAATTCGACGAGAATATAAATCTATTATAAGAATGTATAAAATAATTATGCATCCTTAGGCTTGGGTTCAATTTTATTCATGTTGTGGTCTCTTAGATCTGTTTTCAATTCTCTAGTATATATTAGATTTTTATAAATATATAATATTAATTATATATTTATAAATTTTACACGCAAATTTCTCTGTATATTGATAATCATTCATATTTTTATCCCTTGCACTCATATTTATTTTCGGATAATTGCCTGTGGGATTATTAAAAATTTTAACAAAAAATTAATTCTTGTTAACTTAAATTATTAATGCGTTGTTAATTGTGGATTCAATAAATATAAAAGAGAAAAATTATACATGTATTTTTACTTTTAGAAAATCAATGACAAAATTCAATCCAGTTTATAAATGAGATGAGTGCTGAGGATTAACAGAAGAATTATTGTACAATATTGCTTGATGATGATAGTTTGCAGATTTATTGATTGGATTTTTTATATTTAGTTCGTTCTGATTTTCAGAAAAGAAAATGTCTTAATGCCATTCTTTTTATTTATTAATATGCATTTTCTTTTCTAATTATCTGGATGATATTCAATTTTTAGCGATATTTTAAGAATGGACTAAAATGATATTATCTGAATTATTTTATAACGCATTTATATCAGTCGAATAGTAATTATACTAAAAAACAAGGAACATTACAAAAATAATTATACGAAAGAATGCTGATCCATATAATTATTAACAATGACTAATTCGTTGCATACCGATGCGAAGTAAAGTCTAAAATGGATATACGTAATAAAGAATATTACAGAAAAAATTAACATGTTCATTTATTTGTCTATTCCAGCCATTTCTAGCTATTTAATTAAATAGATACTTCTATATTGCATCTATATTTGCATGTATGAAATATTCGAAAAGAAAAAAAGTGCATAACAAACATATTTTTTTTTAATTATTAAAAATCAATATCTATAGAAAACGCATTTTACAAACATGAATAATATATAAATAAAAGCATTACATTTATGACAAATTTTACAATTTTTTACACATGTACACAAATAAAACTACATAAATAAAAAGATAATCTGCATGAATATTCATAGCCTTTATTTACAAGATATAATACGATTATCTATAAATTATTTACCTTTATTTTGATTAGTTAATTAAATGACAAATTATTTTTCTGAAATCATAATATTAACGTAAATGTATCAAAATGTTTATACTTATAGACGTATCTCTAACACAAACACTACATGCCATATATTATCAAAATTATCGAAAAGGGATCATAATTCGTCTTTGTGTAGTAAGTTTTATAAATGGGAGAAAATATGTATCTACCGAAGTGCCTTTCAAGAAATATCTACTTGCATAGGTTGTATAATCTTCTAAACATAATTTAGATTCCAGCGAACTTATATTTTCATGTGACAATAAATTTATAACACCTGGAGGTATTTCACATCTCGAAAACATGTCATAATATGATGACGGATTACAGAAGTTTGCATCAAATATTACAATGACAGAGTTGCCACTAATTAAAATTTGCATCAATCGAAAAAACAAAATGTTTTCATTTTCCTCTCTAAGTATGATAATAACACCTAATGGCTTACGAGTAAACAATATTTCTGTCATTTTATTTTCAATGTATCCTTGTATATTTTCGAAGAGATATGGAAATTTTATCCATCTTTCTACTATAGTTGCTATTATAACTTTTCTAAAAATGAAAAACGAAAAGATAGTTGCTAATAAGTTATCAAGAATAAACGAATAAATATATATATATATATATATATATGTATATGTGTATATAAACGATATAGTATAGATATATATAAAAACTGTTTTCGATAACTTTATTTACCCAGTAAGTTTTAATATGGGCATAAATTTAGATAATATTTGTATTCTAGCATTAATAGACATATTACTCCAAGTTTTGAATCCTTTCTTAGCAGATTGATAGCATTTTTTTATATCGGACCTGTAATAACCATATATACATTAATTGATTAAAAGTTTAATATATGTTTTCTCAATTTTTTTAAATTTAAGTAAAGATTATAATATTTTCAGTTAAATTAAAAAAGCTAATAAAATTTAAAGCTTAAGAAAACGTGTGCATTCTTACTGTGTTGCATTTGCCCATAGACTGTCATTATGTTTCCAATACATGCCCTTTATGGGTTTTTGCCAAGCACCATCATAAAAAAGATTACCAACAGAAATATCGTTTATTTTTACAACAGATGATAAATGTACTAAATTCGTACTGGATTCTTGATTTTGATTAATTGATTCATTTTGGTAAATAATATTACTCATCATAAATTCATTATTTAGATGATGTAAAGATAGGTGTTTATAAATCCAAAGTAGAGTACCACCACCGAAATCCATATATGTATTTATGAATACTATGTCATTCTGAATAATTATGAAATAGAAAAAAAATTTTAATAAAATTCAAAATAATTCTCGGCAACATATGTCTTTAAATAATTTAAATAATATACATTGATAGATAATGCTAAATTCTTCGCAGCTACAATATCTTCCGACCATATGGATACTATATTTATTACATGGAAGAGAAAGTCATTACATGGAAGAAATTGAATATCTTTCACTGATTGAAATGTATCAATAGTTATGGATAATTCAGAACGATAATGCTTCATAAGCCATACAAATTTCTCGTTCACTCGTTCTTGCACCCGTATTTTATGTAAAGGAAAGTGGTCTGTTATTATTAAACAATTAATAACTGCATACAAGTCCGAATCTTCTAAGATTATCATTTCATTCCTTGTATAAGATTCGCCTGTATAAATACATTTTATATAAAAAATTTTAATTATACAACAAAAACATATTTTTATAAATAATACACATTAAACAATACACAATGGGCATTTTCCAGCAAGAGACAGATGACACAGTGAGTATATATAGATCCAGTGAATCATTTTATCTTTGTTTATCATTGGCGAATAATAAGGCTGAAACAATTTTTTACAATATCAACTGTCTTTGGAAAACGTCCAATATGAATAAATATTTTTTTGTTACCGTGTATTAGAATTGACCTTATTTCATTATAAATGTTTCTAATATTCTGTGATATATCTCTAAAAAATATAGAAAAAGATATTAGAAAAATATAATATATTAATTTTAATATAAAAATTCCTCGATAAATAAGTATGAGAATAACTACTATTAGTGAAGAAAATTTTTTATATATAGTTACATGAGACAATCTAGAAAAAATGAATGCATGACAGATCCTGTACATATTGTGATGAGTGTAATGATTAACAAACTGGGTATGTCCTTCAAATCATAATCTATAAAAACAAAAAAGTACATAGAAGTTATAAAACTTTCATAAATAATCAATTTAATACGTTCATTATTATGCTATCTGTTATTCTTACTTATCAGAAAAAAAAACTAAAAATACAATTGCAATCGCTCGTTAAGGAACTGCTAAATGTTTAAGGATTATCTGAAGAGAGCTTAATAAGAAACCGAAACATGTAATGTCTATGCTCATTTAAATTTAAATTAAATCTTATTGTACTTTATTAATGTAACACTTTTAGTTATTAATATTTTTTGACTCTTATATATCCTTTATAATAATCATTTAAATTGTAAAAATACAAATAACATAAATAATGATATTTTTCAATTGCAAATGTGAAAATAATATTGTAGCTACCAAAACTTATTATTAATTTGTTAGCGACTATGTCAGAGTACTTAGTTAAATAGTGTAAAATAGTAGTAATCACATCTATGTGTTTAAAAATACATGAAAAAAACGGCATGTTCTGATGTAATGTCTCTGCTAGTATCTGCAGTCTGTGCAAAAATGAAAACATTAAAACTATCAACATTAAAACTATGAAAGCAACTTCTATTTTATTCCATTTTAAAATTCTATCTTTATTTACCTCTTTGGTATATTATCGTCAGATTTAAACCTACACCTACGTATCGTATCAAATATATCATTTAGCTTTTTAAGTAGTTCCTAAAAATACGAACATAAAGTAGCATTATATGTTACATACAAAAAATGGAGATTCTTTTAGCAATATAATATTAAATCTTAAAAATTATCAACAATGCATTATTATACACTGCACATATCAATACTCACTTTTTCTTTTTTATCATCATAATTTAGATTAGTATAATATTTATTTAAAATTTCCACTTGCTCCATTAATGCTAATTTAATTCTATAATTTGTAAGAAGAAAGTAAAATTACATTCGATCGATATCTTTTTATGAAACAACACAAATTTATAAAACAAAAAGAGTTTTGGAATTTCTAGAAAATATAATATTCAGATTTAAGAAGTAGGGAACGAATCACATATTGTTTACAGTCATATGTGACATTCGCAGCATGAGGACATCCATGTCTAAACATCTCAATATATAATATAAGGGACACGTTCAAGCAACAAACACGTTACAACGTTCCTAAAAAATGTTACTGAAATGTCCCAAAATGTTTTTTGCTTATTGGGGAAATTTTTTCAATAAAGTTTATTAAGAAATAATTCATCTGCTCCTTTTATGTTTTCTCTCTCGAATTTTTGCCATTCGTAAAATAAAACATTCATTAAGGAATAAATCTCGATTTTTTAATCACATCTAAAAATCATTATCATAACAAAGAACATTTCTCATATATTTTATATCTCATAATATACAATATTTTTTACTACCTATCACATTATCTCATATATAATATTTTTAGAAATTCGTTATATTTTAAATATATGAGCATTTTTGGAAAAGTATATATTGTTAAATTCTCTAGATTTCGTAAGTTTACTTTAGAAATTATAGAACAAGAAATTTCAGAATATTTTAGAGTTCACAAATTATGTATAAAATTCTAGAAAAAATAATATAATATATAGTTTTCCTCAGTACATATCTTCTATTTCAATTAATATAAAAAATCTGAGAAATTTTCTAAGAAGGTATAAAATTATACAAAAATTCTGAAAAATCCTGAAATTTAAATACAAATTCTAAAAAATTAAACAATTAAAAAAAAATTGTATTAGAGAAAAACTATATGAACATGTTCGAACGACGCGGTTCGAAACACGGAAGTAATTAAAGATCGGACGATGTGTTATTGGCCAAGTTAACAGAAAGAACAAACTCAATTGGACATATCATGTTGCTATTATCTTTTCGAAAATGTAGAAATATTCGCAGACAGACAGATTGATAAAATATACTTTTTCGATAAGTCTAGAATTGATAATTTATGAAAAAATCGGAGCAATGGGGAAATGTATATCGTATGACGCAAGATATCGGAGAATACAAAAAACAAATGGCTTTTTCAAAATCATCGAAGTTAATAAAGAAAAATTTTTCGAGGAGAAACGATGAGAATTATGATCTACAATGGGCAGTAGTAGTAGTGAAACTAATGGATTAAAGGTACTTTTTCATGCTAATGCTTACTTTTAGCTCAAAGCAGATCACGTGATAAAAATTAATCAATATTAAGCGTCAGTTTCGATCACATGATATTTTGACGCTAAAAATAAGCGAGTGTATAGCAATTGCATATAAGCCAATTACAGCACTAAAAAAGAAAAATAAAAAAAAATTCCCTAAACAGAAGTCGCTGTGATTGGGCAATTGCTACGGAGTGCAAATGAACTATTCCTAAAATAAGCGCCGAGGATCAGCATGAAAAGACACCTTTAGGAGTAGAACCTTTAGGAGTAGACTCAGAAATTGAGTAATCATAGATTATCCTCCATGAATATACCATATGACTATACACTGTGTGGTCTACAATGGCAGTATCAAACACGCTTTCTATAATAAGCCATTAGTCATAAATCATAAGTTAGAAGTTGGAAATTGATGATTATGGTTGGTCAATTTCCAACTTCTAACTTATGATTTATGACTAATGGTTTATTATAGAATGGCCATTATTGATAGAATGCATATTATTCTCAGATTCTTCGTCCTGTTGATAACCTTGTTGAAAATTTTCTCAGGTCCGGCCATTGCCGGCCATCTTCGATAGACAGGGAGCATAGATGGGGAGCACAAAAAAATTTTGTCAATGATGTATATACTTTAAATTAGAGCTCCTCTAAGGAACTCTACTTTAAATAGATCTGTTTGTTAAATTTGTTTTTTCGTGCTCTCCTCTTATGTGATATTCTAAGTACCTCTCGAAATTACATATGTATGCCGCTTATTCAATTTGCAAATAAAGAACCGACAAAAGATTATTTTATAACACGCCATACTGCAAGTTTGATGAGGCACGATAATGAAAATTTTTTAATGAATGAAAATTAACGAATGAAAATTATTTTAGATTATTTATAGATTAGAAAAAGACCGTGTATGTCGGTATCGTATTTATTTGTCTTACTCCAAACACATAGTATGTACATATGTAGTATCAGTGCGAATGTTTTTACACGTTACCACATAATGCTAGTCATAAATCTTCTTTGTGAGAATATAATATGTTGAACGTTACATTTCTAACACGTGTAATAAAAATACACTTGCACTTACATGCAACATTCAAGAGAAATGATAAATTACGTGAGCTAACCTTTTCGTACTGTGTGCATCACATTCGAAAGAGACAGTCACATTCATCTCCAGCCGGTGGTCCCTGGAATGTATTGTTTTTCGGAACGAGTAACTTTTCTCTGGAAAGCTTACGAAACTTGTATAACGAATAGTTAGTACCAGTTTTACTGATAGTTTATTTGTAAATTTTATTTAATAGGTAATTAAATATTATAATAGAATAAATGTGAAAATGTGAAATATACTTATAAAATTGTTCTTTTGTTTTAATTTACAGCAGAGCCAAGAAACTCTGTCGATTAGAAGTCGTATCAGTGTGTAAAGGGAAAAAGAATGTTGTTGTACAGTATGCAGAAGAGAAGGGAATCATTGTTAATGAATGGCCCCTTGAAAACAATCCACAGGATTTTCATATTGGGATAGTTGTCGCCTTTGGCCATCTGATACCATTAAATATTATAAATTCTTTTCCACTGTAAGTCACTTTATTTATTCACATGTGTTCTACCTCTTTATCCACAGTCTATAAATTGTTATAATATTATTAATATATCTATTTTTTGTCACAGTGGTATGTTAAATGTTCATAATAGTCTATTGCCACGATGGAGAGGAGCAGCTCCAGATATTTATACCTTAATGAAAGGAGACACACAGACAGGAATTACAATCATGAGGATAGCAGAAAAGTAAAGCCTTTTAAAAATTTGTTTCTTAATATTGTTTTTGAAAGCTCAGCACATAGTTTAAAGCGCCTATTTTCTCTTGCTTGTATTTTCTTTTTATTGTTTTCAGTGATAGAAGATCTTAGTCATATTTTGTTTATATTAATATATAATAATGAGGTTTTACTTTTTTCTAAAAGATTTTATAGATATTATGTGCATATTTCATTGTTTTTCCAATTTTTTAGTTGATAAAGAAACATAGTCATTTGCTTTCAAGTTTTATTGGTAGAAGAATGAATATTACAATCTTAATATTATTTCGATTGCACCATTTAGATCGATAGATGGTTCTTTATTACTTCTATGTTACTGCAGGTTTGACACTGGAGACATAGTAACACAGGAAAAGATAGATATTCATGCAGATGAAACTCGACCAGAATTAAATATGAAATTAGCAAAGCTGGGTGCGAATGTTCTGATTGATGTGATAGGAAAATTACCACAGGTATTATCTTCTTCGAGGCCTCAGGGAAAATTGGGTGTAACATATGGTAATTTGTCTTTGCTCCTATACTAAGTGACAAAATACATTAATGTTTTAACTACTTAAATTATTTCTTGACGATTACATTTTGTAGCACCTAAAGTTGCATCAAAGACCTCTTTAGTGAAATGGGACGAGATGACGGCGAAGAACGTTTATGATCTGCAGCGTGCTCTTCTAGGATTGTACCCATTAAAAACCAAGTTTGATGGCGTGACTATAAAATTGTTGGATGTCCGGCAGACGTCGAAACCGGAAGATGGAAGAAATGTGGATATACCAGGTAATTAATCATTATTCCTGCATGATTCGCTGTGATACTAAGTAAGTACCAAGGATTGGAAACAGTTTATTCCTAGGAAGAAAATGAATTATCTGAAAATATAATTATTGTATATTTGAAGATGAGATGTGCATGATTAATGTGGTAAGCCTCTTCCAGGTTTCGCAAGATATGATCGGAAAAGTAATGCGTTAGTTGTGACATGTAAAGGACCAAGTTGGATCTCAACAACGAAAGTAATTGTGAAAAGTCATTCAGTTATGAGTGCATTGCAATTTAGAAATGGATTTATACGGGGCAGAAAGAAAGATTGGATATTATTTCAGAGTAATGTTACATAATCTATAGCGCTGCTTCTGACATCAATGCTATTCTTTTGTAAATGTATATGACAATTTCATTGAGAAACAGATAATGAATATTAAATTTTTATTTACTACACACAATAGTAAAATTTAATTTAGAATGTACAAAATGTAATATTAACGCAGTGACTACTGTGAGAATAATAAATTATTTATCATATATGTCAATGTTTCTTTAAATACTGAATACGATGAATTGCTTTTTGCTCATTTCTGATGATTTTGCATGTAAAATAATATCAAAGTTCTTGTCTCATGCGAAAATATTCTTTTGTATATTCCTTTTATTTCTCTCTTTATATATAATAATTTATTTAATATCTAATAATTTATTTTAATATCTTTTATCGTAGAATTCCTATATAAAACTACAAAGCATTACGAAAAAAATCAGTAAAAGAAATAACGAGAAATAAGTAGCGTGAACTAATGCTAAATTTCAAATAAATCAGTTTTAAGTGGAATTGCAGTAGATTTTCGTAGAATTCATTTTTCTTTAAATTACAGCAAAGTTTCTCTCTTCTGTGTTCTCGTGTCTTACAAACAGGGACTCTGACCGAAATTACATTATGGATTAAAATTTCGGCTGGTTGTTACTTTGGCTGGTCCGAGAATACTCAACTTTCAATTTCGGTGTCGATTCCAGTTCTTTTGAATTTCCGGTGATAACTATGACCGTTATGATTATATAATTACCGAATACAGAAACTGAAAAGGACCGAAATCCAGCCGGACTCGGTTAACTGTAAAAAAAAGTTGGATTTAGTCTCGGACCGTTATCCGAATCGAATTTTTCGGTCTGAGTCCCTGCTTACAAAAAAAAAAAAACAGAATAACACTGAATGTCTTATTTATATAAACGTAGAATTGGAGCTGCAGATAGAAAATTGTTGATATTAAGTCTCAGTTTCAGAGGCCTGAAATGAAAGAAATATTTTTACTATAAAAGTCTCTTTCTTTTATTATGTTTAATATGCCAATGATATATCCACATTGACAATAAGCGGAAGACACAAAATGAAGTTCAGAATGCTTCAAGATATCATTCTATTTTGCTGTACATCACAAAAAAATAAAAATAAATATAATAATTTAATTTACATTGGATAAAAAATTTTTTGTTCCCCTGTAATATTAATTTTTAAATTTTTGTAAGATGATATATCTATCTTTTCTATTTGATTCACCTCGAGAAAATCAATTTATTCATGTATAGATTAAAGTACTTTATATTTTGTCATAACTTTAGTTTATTGCTCTACTATCAATGTATGTGTTTCTATTGTCAATGTATGTGCAATTAGTTTTCTCTTAATTAAATGTTGGATAGAAAAAGAGAAATTATTATCTATATTATAACTACGTTATAAAAAATAATTTCTTTTACACACATTGTAGTGCTATTTAAAAACTTCTATAAGTGTATATAGAGACAAAATAGAAAGTACATCAATCTAATATTAAAAAATATTGGTGTCAGTGTAAAAATTTATGAACTTACACTAGGATCGCAGTCGGCACAGTGCCACGAATATCCTCTCCTTTTCGGAGACTTTTTCACAGGAGGATCTAAGCACGTGAAGTGATAGCATTTCTTACATTCGTCACACCTGCAAGAATTAAATACACGACAAAGAATCGTCATAATAATATTTCACAATTTTAACGTCTATAATTTTAAGATTCCAATTATCATTTGTTGTAATACTAACATAACGAGATTTTGGTTGGTGCCGGGAGTATCACAGACGTTACATTGTGTCATAAGGTCCGTATCTTTCCCTCTCTTCGTTCCCGTTGACAGTCGACCACTGCTATTCACAGATACATTTATTGGAGGTACATTTGCAGCCGGAGGTGGCACAGGTGGTGGTGGCAATGTAATTTCAGTACTCGAAGTGGCCACAAACATTTGCGGGCTCGATTCCGAGTCTGTGTGTCCTTCCGGTCGACGAATTGGTTTTATCTATATTTAATTAATGTTATTAATGTTCAAATCAACGTAGTGATAAAATAAAGTGGAAAAATAATAGATACTTTTATTGTAATCCTTCTATGAATCTCTGGTTGGCTTTGAATTTCTGGATTTTCTATATCTAAACTTTTTCTTTTATGTTTTCTTTTTCTCTGTTTGATTCCAGTTATCGGATCTGGAGAATATCTTTTATGCTTCTCCCTAAGAAATATTGAGTATTTATATGTATATTAAATAATTTAATACTGATTTGCACAAATACGATGAACATATAAATTATTTCTTCCGATCATTTCGCACCCTCTCCTTTTTTTCCCACTTCTTTGAGAAATCACTTCCGTTCCATCCGCAGAAGCTACCATGTATTCTGGTGAACCTTCTCTTACGGTGATATTATTAACAGATTGTTGATTGTATACCGACTCAGATACTTGCGTAGGTTCTACGGTTGACGGTTGCGGTCCCACTGGTTTAATAGTTAGCTGTTAAAATGTTAGGTATAAAATTATAGCTATATTTTATACCTATACTAACCCTAGAGTTAAATCTTCATTTATTTATAAAATAAGTATAATATAAACAGTAGTAGAGTAGTAATATCATATTATCAAAATACCTTTGGTGTTGTATGCGTGTCAGGAGTAGTAATGTTTGTTACATTACTGACAGAATTTTTTGATGTGGTAGGCGTGTTTGGTATCATGGCTGCTTGCACTTCCTGTGGTGGTGTAGGCGTCGAGTTGGCCTCATCCTTACAATGTCTTAATTTACGTGGTGCCGATGTATCCACACGTTCCACTTCTGATCCTGAGGATTCCTTATCGCATTCGGAACATTGCCTGCAAATTGCAACATTAAAAAGTTTAATGAAACAATTAAAATGTCAAACATTTGTTTTCCTACATACCATCCCATTTGTCTCGTTTTCTTAGGCATCCGTGCCAAGGGTGGGCTTAAACAAGATAGATGATAGTGCAAATGGCACGTGTCGCATTTAGCGAGAAGATGTTGATTAGTCGAACGTCTACAAATGCCGCATTGATGTCGTAAAGTCGTTAGCTCACTTTTGTGATTTTGTTCTTGCGCTTGGCTGCTCAACACTCTACCCTCACGTATACCTTCAGCACCTTTACCCACAGGGAGTGGAAATCCAACACCCATCTTCAAGGCAGCTGCTGTAGGCACACCTAAGCCTGTACCTGTAGAAAGCTCTTCGTGTACTAATTGCGTTTAAAGATTTAAACTCTATAACTTACCAAGCGTGGGTGCTATTCTTGGCTTTACAAGATCGGCGATCGATGGCAGAGGTTTCACGAAACCGGCGAATTTAAGTACTTGATGATACAAATCGATTTTTTCTTTCAATGTCACGTTCACTCTAATCTGTTCCTCATTATCCTTCATCACTTCGTCGTATTTTCTATCAAGTCTCTGTTGTTCATTTAATAACTGTGAGTTAATGTCAAGAAGTTCTTGCAATCGTCTCTTCATTGATGTTACGCGTAAGTTGCGATCCAAATAATAACCAATAAATTCTACGCTGAAAGCGGGAGCAATATGCCATTTTTTCCTAACATCTACTAACGCCACCAGTTGAGACTCTTGTGCTTCCAGGGCAGCCGTATCAACACCCATTAGTTCGGCTTTTCGTGCCAATTGACGGCAAGCGGAAGCAGATGTAGTTAATAAACGTGGCATCTTTTGCGTAGGTACTATAATTAATATCTATTTAGAAATGTATTTAAGAATATATATATATTTATTAGGAAATATTATTAAAACTTACCCCATGGTGGCGGACGCGATGCTTTGTGAGCTAAATATTTGTGTCTGTGCTTGGCCAATTTTCTTTGAATTCTACGTTGTTCATCTGAATCTAAATGATTAGGTTGCTTCAAAATCTGTTGCCGATACTGTGCACGCATTTGTAAAGCTAGCCAATTACGCCTACGTCTACGAACGAGGGATTTATCAGAATGCAATTTGCAATGTGCATAAAATGGATCAGCTTGATCGACTTCTTCACTGTGTGCTTCGGATAATAAACCATCTCTTTGTGCACTATAAAAATGATGATATCTCGTATTTTATATTTGTAGTACACACAAATTGTGACAAATAATAATCTTCAAATGTATTGTTAATAAAAGTATTACCAAGTTACATGAAAATATGTGTGACACATTCCAGCATCACATTCAATGCATACACCGGTACGTGCGTAACACGAATCTTCACATAAAGAACATGTTTTTGCACCCCATTTACTATATGCCATTTCAAATAGTGTCACGCTTGACAAACGATCGACCTAAGATACATACATATTTAAATTAGTATAATATTTAGAAATTATAAATATAAAAAATCACGTAGAACAAGATTTACTTACTTCACCAAAAGCGACACCAGGCACGTATAGAGCACACACTAAATGAACCCATTTTCCGACATCTGTTTCTTTAAAAATTCCACCCTTATTAGGACAGAGTTCACACGATGGATCTTCAATTCCTGCGCTACAGGCTTCGCAGAACCATGGTGCCGATTGGCATAAAGAATCAGTGCTTGAAAAACTTTCTACGTCAGATACGCCGTAACAGCCTAAAATTTGATTTTTGTTTGTAAAACATAAATAAAAAAAAACAGGTATATTTATGTTTTTATTTAATGTACCTTCATGAACACTGACTCCACAACCATCACATTCTACAATTTCGTTTATATCATCACTCCTGTCTCCTAAGCAACCACAGCAAATTAGTACTTTATTTAGTTTATCATCAAGAGGCGCACCCTTCAGAGCTTGTTGACGAGCTTGCTCGATCACATCTCCCACAGTTAAGCCAGTACCGTCTTTTCCTCTCAATAATGGATCTTCCAATGAATCGTCAGATTCTTCAGATGCATCTTCTTCTTCTATAAAAACATATATTGTACAACCATTGTTTACTAAATTTAATAAGTTTCTTTATTTCTTTGTGTATTATTTTTACAACAAAGCCTACTTTCACATTAATATTTTATAATATGTATTTTATAATTTGCTTTTTGTTTCTTTCCATGTGATCAACATATACAAATACAAAATGATAAAAAAGTATGATTGCAAAGTTTTATGCACTTGGAGGGGGTTTTATGTTTATTAAATTTTATCAGTAAAATATATTAAAAAAAACCAAACTCTAGAATGTTAGCTATATCTTAATAAATATCAAAAATAATAACAAAATTTGACCACCTTCAGTTTTGATACAATCTTTAAGGTGCTACAACAATAGTATTTTTCCATGCATAATTCTTTTAGGTAGTTAATAGAGCAGTCTTCAACTCATCAACTGATGACAATCTTTTAATTCAGAAACTTTTTAATAAATAAGACGTACATAACACTCTAATTTATTTTTTTTTCTTAAATTAAGCCTATCTAACACTTTGCTCATGAGCTGAAACGCTTCCATCTCTTCGCCGTCTTGGTAGAGCGAGACGGAGCAAAAATAAAGATAGACGTCAAGATTCCATCTGAATTCAGATTTGTTCAGCGTCATAGAAATCTGGTCATTATCAGTTATTATAAAAATCATTGATGATCAGATTAAAGGTCAAAACATTTGATTAAATTTTTGCGTATCATAGACAGGGATAATAAACAAAATAAAAATACCTACTATAATTGCAAATTAAGAAATGATCTCTCTTTTGGCTCCTTCTTTCTATGATGCTTAGACAGACTTGAATTCAGGCAAAATTTTGGCATTTATTCTTTATTATTTTCATTCCGTCTCACTCTACTGAGACAGCGGAGAGGAAGTGTTTCAGTCCGCAAGCAAATTATTGGACAGGCCTGTTTTAAATATATGTTGCTATTCACAAGCTGATATTGTCATCAACTTGTTATCTAGGTAATGATTTGGGCTGTATCTAGAAATTATCCAGATGCAGTCAGGGATCATTTATTTATCACTAGGTATGCTTTCCAGCAAGAAACACCGTGTAATAGATATAATGTGACAGTGTAATATAGTGATCATTTCATCTTTGTTTAACATTGATAAAATAAAGATATAATGATGCACTATATGTTACACTGTGTCTCTCTTTTTTACTGGAAAATACCCTACATAATTTTATCCTTGTTTAACACTCAGTAAACAACAAGGATAAATAATATCTGGGTGCATTTAGGTAAAATTTCTGAACACAGCTTTGTAGTCAAACCTTTTTTTGACCCTGTATTATATAAAATACTTCGTACTCGCAGCATCAATAATACTAGCTTACCTTTTCCATCGTTAGAATCTACAGAATCATCATCTGATTCTTCGCAATGATCCTCGATTCTAAAATCACTATCATCTGAGCTCTCACCAAGATCAAAGTCAATCAAAGACTGTTGTGCTGATTCAACCGGTTTTACCCTTCTCTTCTTGGGGTCTCTTTCAACTGCAAAGAGTAGTAAGATTGATTTTTGCTAAATATCTAAATGTATTTCAAGAAAACATTGGTCGGTGTATATTAGCCCAAAGCTAATACGCAGAAATATTTAATAATTAATAACGCAAAGGAAGCCATATTGAATTGATATTTTTATAAAAAAGAAATGTATAATACAGGCAGTTTTAGGTTATGTTTGCTTAATTTCTCTAAACATACATGTGCTGGTCATGATGATCTTATAGTATCTCAGGAAAACTTTTATCAAAATCGGAGTAATTCTTCGCACAACCTATCTACACCCTTTTAAATCAAATATTCCAACGTATTAGTGCAACTACATTTTTTGGAAAGTCCCTCCGTCAAACACACCATTCGCAAAACCACGGGTGATACGGGTACGCGCGCGCGTTCTATTACCGATAATACGTTAGGTTAATTTTACGTGTCAGCAAATGAGGTTGCCATAATAATAAAGTACTTGATTATGGTTATTATTATGCATTCACAAAGGACAAACCGGCTTGTTATTATCATAACGCTGACGTAGATTTAATAATGTATCGATTGCAATAATAACGGTAATGACAGAACTACGAATAAACATCCATATACGCGCGCGCGCGCGCGCAAGAGAGAGAGAGATAGAGAGAGAGAGAGAATATCACCCACAGAGTACCCACACTACAGTTTATAAATACAATGGATATTAATAAATCTACTTGTAGGACATGTAATTGTTTCAATGCATTTAGTACAATGCATTAATTAAATTATACAACTAATATTGTTTAGAATGTTTGCTTAATAATTTGAACAGTAAATTCACGATAGATTAGATCATAATAGTAACAAATCATGGAACAGAATAGAAGACAAAATAGAAGAATAAATATTATATAGAAAAAAAGAAACTTACTTAAATATTGAAAATAGTACTTAATACAGTATAAAAGAGATCCGCTCAGCTAATTCAAATTATCCACAAATAATTGGATCTTATCTTAATTCATAAGAAACATAAATACAATATGAATACACTGTACTCATGTTTAATCATTGAAAATTATGTATCTATTTGATGTAAGTGTTGAAATAATCTGCAAATTGTTCTTTTGGTTTCCTTCTAGATTATATCATTTTCTACTTAATAGATCTTGATAGACAGCTCGTAAAACAAAGCAATTTTCGCTTGACTTCGGTTTTCGAATCTGACAGTGGCAAGAAGAAATTCATGGGATTTCAGATATGCGAACTATTCTGTACACCATCGACTCCAATGTTACTCGCGGGCCGGCGCGACATGATCCCTAAGTACCGCATCTACGGAACACAATTACGGGAATTATTCGCGTACAATATCGGCACAACTCACTCATTGTTTTGTACAGAAATCCGACGTCGTCGTCCTGTGACATTTCTTCGTCACGAACACTGTACACCAGGTGGAACGGAACAGCCTCCGGTTCCTCCTTGAAAAGTATTTACGCAGCGTTCAGCTTCCCTCGGATATTCACCGTCTCGAGAGCAAGTCAAAGTTCGCAGGGATATCGAATGATAGCAGAGAAGTGGAATTGTTGTCTCACCCGGCGTTGATCCTGATCACAACGGCGTCCATACATCCGACGACGCGGCGCCGATGCGCCATGTTGCACGAATCCTTCCGCGGGAAGTTCAATCTTTTTCACGCACAGGAAAAAAAACTTATGCTAATAACATTTGTTATTTTTGCACTATATACTGAGAGGTCTGGATACTGTATTATTATAACATCCATAGTAAAGAAAGGAGTATTGAGAGGATGAGAAGTAGCAGAATTTAATTTTCCACTTTACTGTATGCTAATTATAAAATCCTTGTGCAGCCTTGAACTTTCATCCTTTCCGTTCTACGCGAGATTGATCTGTCTGCGAAAAAAAGATATTAGAATCGCAAATTCAACATGCATGGATTAATCTATAAATATCTACTGTAAGTCAATTACAAAACGTATTTATACATAGAGAAAAAAATGATGTGTATTAAGAGCATGTGTATATATATATATATCAATAAATATATTTCTTATCAATCTTGAAGCTAATAAAGAAGCATTTTCAGTATTACGACATGTTTATCGTCGCTATATTGGCAGCACTAATACACTGAATTTAGCTGAGCATCTGCATTAGAATAAAAATAATACAGTGCCGAAGTGTCATTGAAATTCAGCTGATTGCGATTAAAATCATGCAGAAATGCATAGGTATGTATTTCCCGTTACATAAGAGTACCTTCGATGTTAAATTATAGAAACGTGGCGAGCAAATCTAAGGGATATCGCGATTTGACTCGTCAATACCGATTTATACCCACTCAAGAAATTCAATTTCGGCAGGTAAGAATGCAAGTACAATAATTTTTTTTTTATTGATATGAATATTTTCAGAATTCAATTAAATTGCCTATAATTCAGTGCTACTTTTTTAAAGAATTTTCAGAGAATTGTTTTTAGAAATACACAAAATCTTTGGGGCTACATAATATATATTTTGTTTGCCTAAAAAGATAGAAAATATGATTTTATATTTAATTTCTTTTCCGTGTAGGTTATTTTTATTTTCTGCATCCCAAATAAATAATTCGTAGAAACTTTGAGCCGCAGGTTGCGTATCACTGGCTTAAATTCAATTAAAAGATACATACATTAAGAATAAAACATATTGCGCATTATATTCAATATTCGAGAACAATTAAAATTACATTATTTTGTTCAAAATGTGTTTGCGCATCGGACCTGTTATTACAAATTAAACCCCAGAAATTAATTTTGAAATGTATAGCCAGAAACATATTTAATAATATATTATATATTTAAATGTATCAAATAAATTTCTCATTAAGATGTATCTAATAAACGAACATGTTCATTAAAATGAATCTAATAAAGGAGTATGTTCATTAAACATTTATCGATATATTTATACCAGTACGTTGGCGGCACTGACACACCGAAGTAGCCGCGCGCTCAAATTTAAAGCAAATCGAAAGTAACCATTACCGCTACTGAAGCGCCATTCGAGTTCACGCTATGGTGTGTTATCCCTTCCACTATGATTCACGCCGTTTACGGTTCGAAAGGCGAGACGGGCGGAAAAAGTTTCGTGATTAAAATTGTGCAAAAGTGCACGCGCGTTTCTCGGTTTCGCGGTTAATTCGTCGTTAAGGTAGAAACAAGCGGAAAAATCGTCCAGGAATTGAAATCTGACTCATAAACGCCGATTTGAATTACTAAATGAGTGGTATGTATGATATATATTAAAAGCAACGCAGAACAACACATATGTACTTTGTGGAATTTGAAAGAAAAATTTATTTCGCATTCTCTTATCTCTTTAAGAGTGGTAAATTACAATAATGATCATTGTTTCTAATTTTTAACAGATAGTCGCTTAATTTGATTGAGACAAATCGGAAGTGATCTGATGTTGCTGAGACATTATTTTGATTTATGCATGTTTAAAAGCAGGTGAACAAAACGAGCGTGAACATTTCCCGTTGGAAATTGCACAAAAGGGCAATTGCGTTTCTTCCGTTTATGGGGTTCATGATGATAGAAGCGAGCGGAAAAGTCATCGTCGGGAATTGCGATCTAGCTCGTGAACGTCAATTCGAGTCGCTAAATGAGTGGGTATAATATATATTCTTCTCCTACGTAGATATTCGTTGAAGTACGAATTGGAAATCTACATTAAGAGCAACGTATACGTAGGGTAAAGTTGCCGAAATCGTACTTTTTACTTAAAAACTATGAAGAATATTCTTAGGTTTTTTTACAGCGCAATAAACTGTACTCTTTTCCCTTTCTTATATAATTTTTTAATAATTTTTTTGCGCTATTATAATATTTAAAATGAGGATTTTTTCAGTATGGTAACAAGAAAATTTTGTTGCCTAAATCGCACCATACCGATATTCCTCATTTAAAACATTATAATAATGCAAAAAATTAAAAAATTATATAAGGGAAGGAAAAAATTGTATTTTATTATGTTGTTAAAAACTTAAGAATATATTTTTCATAATTTCTAAAATACATGACAATTTCAAGAAGTAAGTTAAGGAGTTTCTACATGAAACAAAATAAACATTTCATAGATTTACAATATACATTTCTACATAATAATAAATGGCATAAAAATGTAAGAAATGGAAAAATATTAGATAACGTGCGATTTAAGAAGTTAAATTGTTGTGCGATTTTGAAAAGTAGAGTATTTTTTATTTATTTTACTTTTATTTATTTTATCTATATAAAAAAATGTAAAGCAAACTTTAATCCTATTAATTTAATTTTAATAATAATTTTAATCATGACAAATGGTCAAGACTGAGGCTATTAAACTTACATCTTCTGTAATTCTGTTATGAAATACGTTAAAAAATAGCAATTACTACGCTATTACGATTTTTTAATTTATGTAAATAACACTCCTGTTGCACTTTATGTCACGAGTAACGAGTAATAATAGAGTACCATATAGTTCTTAAATAACTCGTAAGAAAGTATATGAATACAATAATTGAATTTTTAAGCGAAATAGTGCGATTTGAGAGCCAGTACGATTTCGGCAACTTTACGCTATTTTTACTTGTAGAATTTGAAAAAAATGTTTTTCATGTTCTTTTTACAGGCTATAAATTACAATAATGATCATTGTCTCCAATTTTCAGATAGTCGCGTTATTCGATCGAGACGAATCGGAAGTAACTCAATGTTGCCGAGGTACCATTTTGATTCACGCACGTTCACAAAAGCAGGAATGAGCGTGAACATTTCTTGTTAAGAATTGCGTGAAAGGGCAACTATGTTTCTCCCGTTTATGTGGCTCATACGTCATTAAAATAGAGGCGAGTGGGAAAGTTATCGTCAGAATATCGCAAGCTTGTGAACACCGATTTGAATCACATTACTTTGCTAAATAGACAAGTATGTATATTTTTTTATACATATAGATATTCAATGAAACAATTTGTATTCGAAAAAAAATGATTTTGATGAAGTGTCTAAAAATTTAGCTATAAATCTGAAAATAATTTTGTTGGACCATCAAAAATAATTATTAGAGTGCCTAAAGCATGGATGTCCAAGGGATGACGTCCTAAGAATGTTCGACGTTCTATTAAGAATGTTCTACGTTCCCAGGATATAACTCGGATGAAATGTGCTGTGTGGATAATGATAATGTTGCAAAAAGTTTTAACATTCTAACAATTTGAGTATTATAATAATTTCATTAAATAATTTTACTTTATTACATAATTATTTTAATAATCCAAAATTATTTTTAATATATCTGTATCTAGCTAAATTTTTAGATACTTTAGCAGAACCGTTCTTTTTGTGTAGAATTCAAAAGAAATATTTTTCTTGCATTTCCTTTGATATCTCTTAACAGCAATAATGAATTTGTAATAATGATCGTTGTCTCTAATTTTCAACAGATAGTCACATTATTCACGAGAGGAATGAGTGTGACATCTTTTGCTAGGAAATGCACAAAAGAACAACTTCGGAGACGACGATCAAAATAGACATTCTGTTCTCTATAGGGGACAATATATGAGGCCATCAGAATGGAGACGATTTGGACTCGAGATGCTCATTTACGTCGAGTTACAACGATTTTACAATTCCAGGTAAGGTGAATGTGCATGATTCTTTGCGTCTTTCGCATTTGCACGATGCGAAAATTGAATTGAGCTGGGGAAACGTCGTATATTTTCACACAAGAAAAATTGTTTATTTGTTTAAGAAAAATATAATGGGACACAAATAATTTTTGTTATATTTTTTAATATTTGTATTAATTGTTGGTACGTTTATATAAATGCAACATCGCAGCACATTACAAGAATGGAGTCTTTTACATTATTTAATCGACCATATATTGCGTATTGTATTTGCAATATCACATATTTTTCATACACGACGTATGGATTATTAAATAATGGTAAAACATATCTACAGAATATGAGTATTGGAATTTTTTTATTTAATACTTTTCTTCTTTTGCCTCGAGCGGCATTATTTTTTCTAACTCGATTCCATGCCGATGAACAATCACGGGGATTTTGATCATATAATTAATTTAAATAATTTAACCTTTTGCACTGAAGTGCCAATTATGTGGTAACATTAGCAGAGTACTCTTCTCTTTTCGTATGCATTGGTGAATGAATCATTGAAATAATACATTTTAATTAAACACACATCGTACATTTTAAATCTTCCTTCATGTTGTAATAAATTATATCTTTGCTTTTATAAAGGAGCTAATATCTCGTATTTAAAAACAGCGGAAATGCTTCATATCAAATTATACTATTCTATATTTTTTGTATTAGCTGATAAAAAAAGAAAAAAGAGATCTGAAATGTTATATTATAAATAACTAAGATAATTAAATGTAATCATATACCTTTTGCATATTTCATTGTTTCTGACTTTTATGTTCTGTTTATGCTCTGTGTATGCGTCAGAAATATGTTCCCATCTAGGTATCGTAATTTAGAATTTTAATGTATATTTTCTACACATTAAG